GCGGGAGGCTCAAGCGATTTTGGGAGTGCTCTCGGGACCCACATTCTGACAGCCCCCGGATTCATTCTGGTGACGCTGCACTTCCGAAAATGGCCATATCGGGTTTGAGAAATTCAGACTTGTATCGTTGATTGCATCGATGATTGGATTGTTGATGATGAAACTTATCTTTCAGTAATTGGGGGGAATCTAAACAAAAACGAAAAAAAGACGAAAGTCAACTAAGGTTGTTACATCCAATGTCATCCCGCAGGACATCCACGAAGGGTATGGGTCCTATGGGTGTACCTGCCAGCCGTCTGGCTGCGGTATGCTTGTCAGATTATTTTATGCTTCCGTATGGCGCACTTGTCTCAAGTGAAATGCTTTGGGCCTCGCCACAGTGCTGAGAGAAGGCCGCTGGCTGTGGAATGAGGGCTGGTGTCCTCTCTTTTGTGGAAGTATCATGTGCCCCAATTGTTTGGTGATTGTTATAGCATCTCTTGTCCTGTCTATTCTTGTCTGATGCTATGGTTGTTCTTGTCTATTCTTGTCTGATGCTATGGTTGTTCTTGTCTATTCTTGTCTAATGCTATGGTTTTTCCCTATTATGCCGTCTACCTTTGCTCTACTGTTGCTAGCCGTACAGAATGATTGTATGGGTGGATTTTTCAAGGGATAATTGGTGGAAAGTGCCCGCGGAAACGTTTTTGGTTTCGAGTTGGCAAGAAGACGCACTGGGAACACAGGCCGATGTTAGAATCTGAAGGCAGAGATTGGGTCCAGACAGTTTGGCCTCTTACTACGGGATCATGAGCCCGGCACTGTATCTGTGCCAGATTCATTTTCCGGTAGGCAGTTCTTGCCCAACTGGAAAATTTTGGGTGCGCGAAACCAAAAAGGTTTCCACGTGGGTGCTTTATACCAATTATCCCATTTTTCAATCTGTATACAGGTTTGATGTGAGGGGTTCCTACCTTTTTTTCTATCTTATATCAAGTTATATGTCCTTCTTCCCCCCCCCCCCTACAGTGCAGGAGCTACCTACCACTATTCCTAAGGCTATAGTACAGGGGACACCTGCAAGCATAGCTACCTCTCACAATCAACGGGATGCATGTTGCCCACCACCCCGCCTGACACTGGGCCCGCAGTACATTCATTGCCCTTTTGGGCCCACGGTACTTACTTTCATTGCCCTTTTCGAATTTCACAGAGGCATGCTTTTTTTGCCCCCTATGAAACCCTGTTGTGCTTCTTTTTATACGAATCTTTGTTTTTGTGGGGGGGAAGTTATAAAACCTCCTCGCAACGAAACCTTCGTATTCATTTCACCCCCAATGGGCAAAAAGTGCCACCGGCCCCAAAATGGCTTTTGGCGTCTTTTGTCCACCCTGTAAAATACTTTCCCACAGTGGGCATTACCTTCCCAGCCAGGGTGCAAAAATGAACCCAAGAAGCCACTGGTGAAGTCATAGACGTCAGTCTTACGAAGCAAAACAATAACACAATATCGAACAGGCGAAAAAGAGGGGGGGGGGGGGGGAGAGAGAGAGAGAGAGAGAGAGAGAGAGAGAGAGAGAGAGAGAGAGAGAGAGAGAGAGAGAGACAAAAAGCCACTGGCCCGTTTTACCCCGTTGGGGGGGAAAAGAATACAAAGGTTTCTTTGCGGGGAGGTTCTATAACTTTTTCCTTTTTTTTTTTTTACCAGAAACAACAGCAGACGTGGCAGGTTTTGGGTTCGTAAAGGAAAAAGAAAAAAAAAACATGCCGGCAAAAAATCACGCGCCTACTTTGGAGGGGAAATTTCGGTCCAAAAGTATGCTTTGGGCTTTTTTTTTTTTTTCTTTCCCCATCTGAAACCATGCCGGACCCCTGTAAAATATGACACCCGGCCTGGCACTGGGGCCGGGGTACCTGCATTGCCCTTTTCGAACTTCACAGAGGCATTTTTTTTTTGTCCCCTATTAACTTTCCCCATCTGACACCATCCCCTGTAAAATATGCCCCCTATTTTCTTTCCCCTTCTGACACCACGCCTGACACTGGGCCCGCAGTACTTTCATTGTCGTTTTGGGACCATGGTACTTACTTTCATTGCCCTTTTCCAACTTCATGGAGGCACATTTATTTTTGCCCCCTATGAAACTCCGATGTGACATCAAAAGATTCAACATACTTCCCTTTTTTTTTTATTACTTTGGCTTGGACCCCACTGGTTTCCGGCTGGAAAGTGCTGTTGGCCACAAAAAACGGCCGACCGTGATTGGAAAGAAGTTGCCGCGTTTTGTTGGGACCCCACCGCAGCCCTCGACTCTCAGCACTGGAAACTCTTCGACATGCCTGATTAGGAAATCCGCCCGGGGTGTTTCCCAAAAAGGCAAGTAGGCCCGGGGATGTGGTCCAGGCCCTTCTATCGGCATGCACCAGGACGACGGTCCGTGGTTTGCGCCAGCGTACTGGTCCACAAAACGGTCCACGACGACGGTCCGTGGTTCGCGCCGTCCAGCCGTTTTTTGGAAACTGTTTGACATGCCCCCCCCCTACTCGTCCTTGGAAACGGCCTGGAAACTCGTCAGCATTGCATTTCCAGACCGCGAGCCGAGTAGAAACGCCCCGTCAGCTTTTCCACGACCTCTTTCCAACCGCAGTGGGGTCTGAAATTCCTTTCCGGGCCGACTTTCCACAATGGGCAACACCTGTGGGGTCTGAAAAACACTTCCTCGCCAAAACTTTTCCACGCCGCCGGCCAGTGGGGTCCAAGCCTTTCTCGCATCTGTCTCCTCTTACCTGATTGGCTATCGGTTGTCACCCTTGAACGAGGGCTGGGAGTGGGAACTTGATGGCCTGGGTATTGGAATCATAATGACAGGTGCACCTGGATTTTTATGTGGCTTCTCCTCTTCTTTCTTTTTTCCCCCGGATACGATGCTTGCTGCCGTGTTACAGGGTGGAGAAGAAGACGAATCGTGGGAATTCTTGCGGGTGTGGCATGGGAGAATGCCCCTATGGTCTGTGGAAATTGCTCAGTTGGCTCAACTGCAATAGGATTTTCTATACCTCCAGGGACAAGATCTGCAGGAAAAACCCTCACTATCCGATTTTTGGCGAATGCGTCAACATCGTTAGCAGTCAGGCGACGTACGCCGACAACACCATCTGGCACAGCGTAGACTGTATCGTCATCAAGACGGACGGATGAACATGATGACGGATCTGAAAGGCGAGGATGTTTCTCCGCAGGTTCTCAATTCACATCGGCGAAGTTTCTTCAACATGGCTTCCTATGGAACAAAGCCTTCTGAAACAGCATCACTTCCGTGAAGAGAGTTAGAGGTGCGGAGAAGACCATGATAATCAATCAGTGGATATTGCGAGGAGAGGGAGATCCTCCTCTTTTCTCGTCTTTGGCCTGCGTCTGTTTGTTCTGTATCCGCTGGTAGATGGTAGAACAACGCAGATGAGACGTGCATAAGATGTGGATACGATGTGGATAAGATGTGGATGAAGATGTGGATACTATTTGGATACTATGTGGATAAAGATGTGGATAAAGGTGTGGATAAAGATGATGAAGATCTGGGAAAGATCTGGATACGATGTGGATAAGATGTGGATAAAGATGTGGATAAGATCTGGATAAGATGTGGATGAAGCTGTGGATGTAGCTGTGGATAAAGATGTGGATAAAGTTGTGGATAAGGACGTCTGTAAGATGTGGATGTTGGCAACACAGCATTCAAAATCGGATCTGAGAAAGGCTAGGATGAGGATGACGGGAAGGACTGGAAGGCGACGATGAAGGTGGAGAAGGAAAGGGAGGACAGAAAGGGACAGTGACAGTGAGATCATGTAAATATATATATTTTACGGGGGCTTAAAAAACGAAATACATGCAATTTCCCCTTTAAATTCTGATGCGTTGTCCATGGGGCCAAAGTGAAAAACGTGAAAAAAAAAAAAAAAAAAAAAAAGTCCTTATCGCTGAATCACCTTGAACTTGGAGTATTATTCACTCCGCGTGTCAATGTTTAAAGGAACAGAGTAAAAATACGGAAGAAAGACATATTATTAATTTATTAGACATAGCGAGCAGAAGAACACCGAGTTTATGAAAAGCGGCACCCTACGGGAGAAATTGCTGAACGGTCGAAGTTATACCTGAAAAGCGGCACCTTACGGAAGCATTGTTGTTCTTTTTTCTTTTTTCTTTTTTTTTCTTTTTTTTTTTTCGTTCGCTGCCAGCAAAGATCAAGAAGTGCAGTCCAGCGCTTTCTTCTACAGAAAAGAAGAGCACAAAAGCAAAGTGGGGACTGCGGTGCTTTTTTCCATTCATTGCCAGTTCGAGGACAGAAATAGCGGCATGACTTTAACCGTTCAACGAGGACACATCCATCCAGAGGCATGCGCCCAAATCAAGGAGATTTGACGGGGAAGAATCTGGTCAGGATCTCATGCACAGAGGTACTCTGTACAATTGGACACGTGGGAACCATTTTATTTTTTTCTCTGGACAAGCTGAATTACGCAGCTGGAGCTGAGTCCACGTGCTTTTTCGCCTTTAACAAAATTGATATCATAACTAAAAAAAAAATACAGCGCATCCAGATTCAAAAAGAGGCTTTCGCACTGAGTCTACCGATCTGCAGTCGAGCTCACTCGAACATGGTCCCTCACAATGCGATGGGACACAGAAGCACAACGCAGAGATGACCTCCTCCTCTACGGCTATTTAGCTGAGAGTGCATACGTGACAAAAACACAAGCACGCACACTGCGGCAGATTACTTCCTCCTCTTAGTCCTCTACGATTACATCGCTGAGTTCATCCGTGACAAACAAAAGCGCATGATACATAACGTCGACCACCATGTCGAGAACACACACACACAACGTCGACCACTACGTCGAGAAGATGCGCCCCCCCCCCCCCCCCACCCAACACACACACACACACACACACACACACACACACACACACACACACACGCACACACACACGTATACACATACAGAAAGGAATGGGATCACCAGATTTATCACAGAATTTCCATTACCAAGCTACCGCCAGCTCGTCCGACTCCTGAAACAAATCCCCTGTACATTATACTCTGTGACAACCTCAGTAAACATCACGAACCCGAACACAGTCCCTGCCAGCGTGTTATATCACATAATAATATTAATACATAGACACCAAACACAAGAGCAAATGAGGTCACCAGCCAGCAAATGGGATCACAAACTCACCACAGAGTTTCCACTATCACCCTTGGAGTTTTAAGGCCGCTTTGATAGAGCTGAAGCTACCGGTAGCGCGTCCGATTCCCCAAACAAATTCCGTGTGAACTCTGTGACGACCTCCGGAGTCCATACACATCACGATCGCGAACACAATCCCTGCCCACTTCTAATTACAGAAAATGCAATAAATAAAATCATGGCATTGCTGGTCTATGCTCTATGTTACATTCAGCGGACAGACTCTCGACCTCCCTTTTTGTGCTGAACCCGTCTCTCACGCGATTACGTTGCTACCGTCTTCCCCCCCCCTCGAACACAACACAAGGCACCCTGATAAGGAATGCATGCAAGCTATGTTTCCGGTCCCGTGCGGCCAAAGTGATCGGCGTACTTTCTCTTCGCCTTCTTAGCATTGCTTCCAGACGAGATCCCACGCGTTGGGCAGGGACTTCAGTTGAATGATCCCCCCCGCTCCCTTGGGCTTCTTGCCTGGTTTCACCGTGACTTCCAAGCCCACCGACAGTGTCTGTTTGTTGCCACACTCGCCGTAAAGTGCCAAATCGAATCCGTTCGTGTATTCGAAGTTGTCGTCCATGGGTCCCTGGATCTTGCGAGTGAGGCGAGCCGTCCCTGTCTTCCCCGGGATGTAGTAAAACGCCTTAATCGACCCAGACACGCCTCCATCGAGCTTTGCGTACCCGCCGAAAGTGACCGACCCCAACCCTACAGCGAAGCCTTCAGGGTAACTGAGATCTACGGACATTTGGCACCTCCTCGTCCGGTGCGCCGCGCTCTTGTGCGTCGTAGCAGTGAACTTGGTGAACATCGGCGTCATCCTCTGCCCGTCCTCGGAGAGAGCGAATTCCAAACTCCCGGGAGGACACCCGTCGCCTGCGTAGCTGAAGCCGTTTATCGTCACCGAGCCCGGTGGTGGACTAACGGCAGATCCCTGCCCGGCCAGCAGCAGAATCAGCAGCAGGACAAGAGTCAGCAGCAGGCGGGCCGTCTCTGTGATCGGACAGACAGTTCGCATCATCCTTCGCTCCATCTCTGCCGCCTTCGGTCTGCGGTCGTCGTGACCTGCTGAACAGACTGGAGTGGCTATGTGGTCACCGAGAGGTTGTCCACGTGTCACTGCCACGGACGTCTGCCGTCTCGAGCTCCACGAGGCAACTACACCCCCCTCACACAACGCAGCGCAGCGTCTAATACACGCAACGTCCCTCTCCTTCACTTCCACTTCCAATCTCTCTTCTTCGTCTCCACTTTCAATCTCTTCTTCTTCTCCCCTCCACACAGAACCTGTCCTCTTTTGAGAAGAACGATACTCTGGGGGGTGGGGGTGGGGGCGGGGGGGGGGTGCAAGTCCCACTGTAGCAGGAGCGTTGAGGTTGAGTGTCCGCAGCGCCCTAATCAAGATGTGCTTTTGCAAAAAAAAAAAAAAAAAAAAAAAGATGTGCTTTTGGAGAAGTGCGATTGAGGAAAACTCACAGTGATTTCTGCACATCTCCTCAAACACGTCCAGATTCAGGCGTTAAGGAAACTAAACGCCGCTTTTGGGACTTGGCTGCGGAGGTAATAAAACCGAACTTATTGTGCGAAAAAAAAAAATATATATATATATATTAAAAACAAAAAATACTGGCTATTTGCCTTTCTTGGCGCCAAAGGATGACACGCATAAAACAAAAACAGAACAAGAAAAAATAAAAAAAAATAAAACATTTTGTCACAACCACAGGGCCGAACGCGGGGGGGCCTTTTGCATCATGCACGGCGAAACGGCCTGCATGCCAATGGTACCTGGGGCCAAGTCCCACTAGCAGCGTTGAGCTACCTCAACGCCTGAATCTGGACGTGGTTGAGGAGACGTGCGGTTAAGGAAACTAAACACCATTTCTGCACACCTCCGCAAAAGCGTCCACATTCAGGCGTTGAGGTAGCTCAACGCTGAAGGTGGGACTTCGCCTCTGCGGATGGACGTAGCAAGGAGGGAAGGACGACAAGGGGGGAAAAAAAAAACCAGAAACTTTCTGGGACAAGCAGCCGTTCGAGAGAAGAAACAGCTTTTTTTCTTCTTTTTTTTTTTTTCTTTTTTTTTTTTTCAGCCGAGACCGGCGGTACCATGCGGGATGTCAAATTTTCCCCAGAAGTACGTTAGGGCCAGATCACACAGCCAAAGAGGATTGGAATAAGTGCCTGAATCAGGACATGTTCCATGCAGAGATGCAGAAAAGGAGATCAATTACAGTATAATTTTGCACATCTCCACAAACACCTGCACATTCAGACACTTATTATTCCAATCGTTTTTACCAGTGGGATGTCTTGATTTGCCTTTGTTAAGGGCACCCCTCTTGGACCCGTGTTTATTTGGACGAATGAATGCTTGCGAAAATTATCGACTCCAAAAAAAAAAAAAAAAAAAAAAAAAACTGAGGTGGCAGCTCGAGCTTGTCGTTCATGTGCAAGCGGGGCTGAGAAAGATATGGCTCCAACGTAGGGATGACACGCGGCAGTCCAGATCTACGAGCAAGAGGCTCCTGTGAGAGTGCTCTCAAAATGGAAAGCCGGAATCTTCGAACTCATCCGATATCGTAGAGATAGAGAAGGGGCAGAGAGGGAGATGGAGGAGAAAAACACAGAGCCCACTTGAGTAGCGCAATGATAACCTCGCTCAGAATAGTAAGACCTTGACAGTGCAAGGAGTGAGGTAGGCGAAAAAACCCGACATGTTTCGGCCACCTCGCCGAAATGGCCATCCTCGGGGGCAATTGGGCTTGATAAAGATATGGCTCCAACGTAGGGATGACACGCGGCAGTCCAGAAGGGTCCACTTTTTTTTTTTTTTTTTTTTTTAAGCAAAAACGGGCCCAGTGCCCAAGGCTAATATTAGGGCCTAGTTGCACTACTCACCATCCGTCAAATTTCGTGGCGGATTCGTGGAAGGGCCACTCACCATCAGTCAAATTTGCCTTATGCTCATGAAAGTTGGGTAAGGGCCTCTTCGACACCACTTGAACTCAAGCGTTGGAGGAATATTCTTCATTCCAACCCTCCCGGGCCTCCCCCTAATGGCACCCTCCTAATGTTTTCACTTTCCTGCTCTCAAGTGCGCATCCCGTTGAGACTCAAGTGCGGCTGGGGCAAAATAGCACTTGAACTCTAGGTACCTCCCCGCTGTACCTTAAGTTCAAGTGTGAACGGATACCGCAGAGCACTTCGACTGGCGCTTTTATCTGCTCTTCTTTTTTTCCGCCAGGCATTCTGGTCCAGGATTGGTCAAGCCGTGGGTTTCGGTTTCAAGCGCAGCTCTTGTTCAACCGTTTCCTCAAGTGCACGTGTAAATGAATCTCAATTTCTCGTTTAGGGCGCCCTTGAAACTCAAGTATTTTCAAGTGATGGTGAAAAAGGCGCCATTGAAAATAGTCAGATGGCCCAGAAAAGCATGGGAACGGTGGCTATGACAGTTGTAAGACTTTGAGAAATACCCATGGCCCACTCGCCAACTGGCCCTGTAATCTATTGCATCTACCCCTAAGCTATCTGTTATCCATTCTATATATTACCCCTGCCTGCCATCCATTGCATACCCCTACAGGGCCCGCAGTTCGCTTATGTATATGCCCCAGTGTTTCTGGCTGTTGGACCCTGCAGATCGCAAAGGACATGTGTTGGCCCCTGCAGCACATGGCCCGTTACTGGGACTGGGGCAGATGTGAAAGTTCGGGGCATGTTAGCATACCCTTGTTTTAGGGGTATCTAACGAAATACCCAACTTTTAGGGGTATTTCAACAATTTTCAACGCTTCCTTCTTTATCTTTTTCGCCAGTACCTCGCCCAGCTAACTTTTTCCAATGCAGGCGGGAGGGTCCAGTGCAAGGGAAAAAAATGCAAAAGATAAAGGTACTTTGCTGACTTCATTGATCTCCCGCCAGAGGCAATGCTCTGGCTGCTTCTTTCAATAACAGAATTTTCTACTATGGGGCCCGCCACACCACTGTCGAAAGGATAACTTTTTTTTGAAGAAACTGTGCCTATGACTGCTGCACAGCTATGTGTCCCCCCGTACGAATACGGGGAGTACGTATGGCCGTACGTTCGTACGTACGAACGTACGGCCCCCCAGGCAGTTGTACGGGCCGTACATACGGCCGTACGACATGTTTCGGGGGCTTTCCTGGGGGCGGGGGGGGGGGGCATCTGAAGGGGGGGGGGGGGGGGGGGATGTCGGGGGCTACACCCCGAAGTTAAAAAAAAAAAAAAAAAAAAAAAAAAAAAAAAAGTTTGTTCGGGGGTTGGGGGGTGGCGCGGGGTCGGAAAAAAAAAAAAAAAGATTTATTGATTGATTGATTGATTGATTGATTGATTAATGAAAAAAAAAGAAAAAAAATGATGCCGCGTACCTTTTTTTTTTATTGCTTGATTGATATCCCCCAGCCTCCCGCACTCTAAACTCTCACCACCCCTCCCCCAAGGCTTCCTTTCCCTCGAATCGTCGTACGTACGGGCTGTACAACATACGAATCCCCCGCAGCTGTGGTCGCCGCAGTCACAACCGCTGCCCCGCGGTCATGATCGCGGTCGTGGCCATTTTCGCGACCGTGTGGCGGCCAGAAGGGGGTTGGGGGTGGGGGTTGGGGGTGGGGGTTGCGGATTGGAGTTCCGGAACACCGACCCTACACCCTTGATGAAAAAACAGTTGAAACAAAATATTTCCAAAGGCCGGGCGAGTGTTTGGTGTAAGAATTTTAAATAGAAAAAAAAAACTATTGATTGATTTTTAAATAGAAAACAAATAACTATTGATTGACTTTTAAATAGAAAACAAATAACTATTGATTATTTTATTGTTTGATTGATTGATTTTGATTGATTGATTGATTAATTGATTGATTGATTGATTGATTGATTGATTGATTGATCGATTGATTTTTTAATTGATTGATTGACTCATTGATTGATAGATTGATTGATTGATTAATTGATTGGTGGGGGGGAGGGGTCCTCCCTCCCCTCCCCCTTACACACGCACACACACACACACACACACAC